AAAAAGATTTATACTTTGGGTTTTTTTTTCAAGAATATCATATATAAATATAAAAAAAATAAATATGTAAAATTAATGTTTGTGAACATTATCGAAAGTATGAGAATGGTCTTGTGTTCCTTTGATTAACAAACGAGCCTAATTTTTTTGTTCCAGCTCGCTCATTTAGTTAATGAACTTCTGTTCATTAACGTTTCGCTGGTCGTACTAGATTGAGGGATATTAATAATATTGGTCTTATATACACATTAATATTGATTAATTTGTTGGCATATGTTCAGCATGACTGCTGTTTTCGTTCGTTTAATTTATTTGCACGCAATTAACGGTTGCTAGTACCCATTTATCTCACTTTTTAACATTAGGAGTTTTGTTGTCCAATGTTGATGAAGACCTATTGTCGGAGATCCTACTTAGACTCCCGAATTGTCGATCTGCTATTTGGTTGAGCACTTTTTGTCGGCTTTGACATTTATTGATCTCTCAACCCCAATTCATCCATAGGTTAATCTCCCTCCATCGAGATCGAGATCTATCCCACACCATCATCTATCTATCTCGACTTTATTTCTCAATTAAGTCATGACCATACGAGCATCGTGCAACGACTTGTTGCTCGTGTCCAACGATACCAATTGTTTAAACTTTAAACTATCAAGGGTACTACATTTGTAATTCGGTGACTAAAAATTTCATTCCGGTCCCTATAGAATATTCGCTCGAAACAAAGATTGGGTTTGCTTTAGTAGCAGTGGTAGTTCTCGACCGGTTTAGCTTGGTCGACACATCGTGAGAAGCTCTCGTAGGTAGCTACGGACAAACCGTGAGGGTTTTTTTTTAGCAATTTATAATCATTTTTTACCTTAATCAATTACGACGTTGGAGTAATTATTGTTTTTAATGTAATTTTTTATCTTTTAACCAATTGGGCGCAATGTCTTGTTTTATTTGTCTTCTCCTAAAGTCTTCGATATTGACTTGCAATAATTCGGATAATGCTGACTCAGCTTCTCCATAGAGTAATGGATAATTACCCCTTTATTCAAGACTGGACAAATAAAGAAAATTAATAATATTATATATATATCGGTTTTGCTATGAAGCGAACAGTTGACTTCATAATAGAGCTAATTTTTTATATACAACAAATAAACCTACAATATTCTCTGAATACTAAAATAACACTAATATAATTTTATTAATATGAAATGTTTATTTTGTTGTATCAGAAGTCAACTGTTGACTTCATAGCAAAACCGATTATATATTTGCTCGAAATGTTGGTGTCGGATTTATTGAGAAAAAGCTCTTAAATATATATATTAGTGTGAAAAATATTTTTTGTTGGTAGATGTGTAATAAAATATTTATTTTTATATTAAATTGAAAATACTGAGAGATAAAATAATAAAAATATATGCTGTTTCAAAAAGATGATATCCTCCCTATATAATTCTCGAATGCGCTGAGCCTACGTGGCTGCTTCTGGTGCTTCGGAATCCTATTTGGCGAAGAATCATGCTTCGTAATTAGGTTTGGATAAATAATATTGATATATTAATCATTAATAATCTAGGTTCGGGTATTCCATAAATATTATTTAGCTAACTTAGGTATTTTAATATCACTTTTACTAATATAACCCTTTAATTCTTTGTAATTTTACATAGTGA